GGTCCAAAAATGTCAGAAACTGTCAGTTATGTAACCCAAGGAGGTCAAGAAAAGAGGGAAAGGACCCATATGTACAGTAATATTTGTAACAGCACTTTTACTGTGGCAGAGGGTACAAAGTTTTGCCTATCATTTGGGAAATGGCTGGACAAATTGTGGTTTATGAATATAATGAAATAATAACATAAGAAATGATGAATATGACAGATTCAGAGGAACCTGGAAAGATTTCTGTGGATTGATGCTGTAGAATAAAAAGAGCCAAACCAAAAGAATAATTTATTAAAGGATTACAACAAAAATGTGAAGGAAAATGATGTTAAAACCTTAGAGTAAAAACTCTATCTGCCAGAGTATCTCAATGATACCTCAAGTTAGACATATATATAACTGAACTTAAGCTCTTCTTCCCAACCCCCTCTGCTAATCTACCTCTTCCCTGTCAAGTAGAACTACATGAAAATTGTATTCCTATTTTGAAAAGTTTCCAAAGGAGATTCTAGAAATTTCCCGGAGAGACTGGTTTCACTAACCCAAATGACTGGGCTAAGCACAACAAAGGGAAAGAATAAAGAGAATTCTCTCACCTAAAACCAAATAGACTTCTGTAGTCCAAAACCACTGCTCAAAAAACACTCACTTGTTCAAAGATCATGAATATGGAGGAAGTCAAACGTACTTTTGTAATAAAACAAACTAGGTTGAGTAGTACCAAGTGAAAGGGTAATTAGAGATGTGAGGTCCATAGAAATCTCAAAAAGTTACTATCTACCAAATGTAAAAAATTGTTACTGCTAGCCTTATTGTGTTATTTCTATTCATGTCCTCCATAGGGAATTTGCCAATAAAGATTACTAAAGAGTTTGACACCATCCCTTGTCATAACTTTACTTTAAATTTTCATTTTCCAATTTCACCTCTTATGAAACATATTCTTCATGAGAAAAGATTCCCACTAGAAGGAACGAGTCTGAATAGCACTTTAAATGCTTTGAAAATAATGTGCCTTCTTATTCTAGATTGCTGGCTGTCTGTTTGAATAATAACCTACTGCCCCCTCCCCACAGTTAAAAAAGTGGATAATTTAGAGGCCAATAGCCCCTGTTTCAGAGAGCTGATTTCAAAGAAAGAAAGCTCTATAATTAAAGTGAAAATGAAAAGTGGCCAAACATACGACGAGCAGCTTCACATTTACATTTCAAAGGAACTCTGGATCAGGTACTAAATTTCATTCCAAATACCCAGTGGGCCACTTCAGCTTTTTCCTCCATCCAAATAGCCTTAGGATTTTAACAATGGTAAAATAAGTCTTGTCATTTTTGTGAAGTAAGGCAAATCTAGATGAAAACAATTAGCAAGTCTAATACTATAAAGGAGGTTGAGGAATACCAGAAGGAAATCAAGAGTGTTCTAATGTGCCTGGAGGCATAATTGTTTGGGAGGACATAAGAGCTAAAAGTAACCTGGAAGAGCAATTGGTCCAAACTTTCCTTTTTGTAGTAAAGTAAAATGAGGCCCCCAGAGGTAAAATGATACGGCCAAGGTCACACAGCTAGGCTGCCTAGGTGGAGCAGCTGAACCTGGCCTCAGGAAGACCTGAATTCAAATCTGACCTCAGACACTTCCTAGCTCTATGACTTAGGGCAAGTCACCTAACTTCTGTCTCAGTTTTTTCATCTGTAAAATAAAATAGCCCCTAACTCCCAGGGTTATTGCGAAGATAAAATTAAATAATAGATATGTAAAGCAATCAGCAAACCTTAAAGTGCCAAATAAATGTTAGCTATTAATAATAATTATCATCATTATTATTATTCTTATCATTATTGTTTTTATTATAATTATCTAGATAATCCAGATCTGAAATTCTTTCCATGGTACTGCACACATTTCTGCTTCTCCCTCCGCACATCTCTTAAACATAGAAATAACAGTTATATTATAGGATCCTCAAAGTTCCCTTCTCACCAACCTCTACTCCAAGTCCAGAAACAGGAAGCTGACCTTGGCCTCTGCTCATCACAAATTAAGATTCACTCCTTACTCTGTTAAAGTAACCAATAGTGAGAAATCATAATCCTTGGCTACTTCTCTCTACAACTACTCCTATAAACTTCTGGTTATACATTACATTTAGATAGAAGTATTAGCTATTTTGTTGTGTTTGGGGCTGGTCTAAAATCTAAGATTACCCAGGAGAAATACCAGAAAGCACATAATGCAAATCGAAGTGGAGATTTCATGCCCACTAGAACACGTAGCAGATAGCGCCTTCCTCAGCCAACCAAGATTTTTGAAGGATGGGATTGAACAGAAATTCATTAGGTCAATCATAAGCCCTTATTAGTCACCTACTATGACACCAGGCATAATGCTGGCCATGAGAAAACAGCCTAATCTTTTTCCCAGTTGTAATTCAAGTTAATCTTAAAATACCACTGTTGTATTAATTTTTTTTTTTACTTAATGTCTTCTCTGCCACAAAGCTAATGGATAGAAATATACAATTATGGGTAAACCATATTAGCAAGCATACACAAAAGAATATTAAGACAAAATAGAAATAGCTCACATCTGTATAGTGCTTTACATACAGGCATACCTCACTAACACTGTCATAGAGTTCTATGAAAAAAAACAATTTTAAGAGAAACATTACAGGAGGCTAGTTAGCAGCATAATAGCGATGTTAAAGATGCATTCCTTAGATGATGCAGGAGATGTGGAAGAAAATAGGAGTAGTGAGAAAGGAATGGAATGTTGGCAGATACCTAGTGATGGTTCTGGGAGAGATGATGGGAAAGAATGTACAGGGAAGTGGGAGGATCTGGGGCTAAATTCGGCAAAGCAGGAGAAAGTATTTCAGGATATTCTGACTCTGAGGCACAACTGCACTGAGCTGTTGATCAGGGGAAGGGAACAGGACTGGTGACCTTTACTTGGGGATTTACAACATTAAGATGAGGATTAGGATTATTAACATTATTGGGAAAAATCTTTCATGAAGCATCACTATGCAGAATATGTCACAGAGGCAACTAGATGGTACAGTTGATGGGCCACTGGACCTAGAGTCAGAAAGACCTGACTCTCAAATCTGGCCTCAGACATTTACTAGCTGTGTGACTCTAAGCAAGTCACTTAACCTCTGTCTGCCTCAGTTTCCTCATCTGTAAAATGTGCATAATAATAATAACACCTACCTCCCAGAGTTGTTGAGAAGATAAAATAATATTTGTAAAATGCTTCATAAACTTTAAAGCATTATGTGAATGATATCTATTAACCATTATTTTGCTTGAACTAAATGTATTATTATACCCATTTTATAGATGAGGAAACTGAAGCTCTCAGAAATAAAGTGACCCATCCAAAGTCACAGAGTTAATAAGTTTTGAAGCTTTCAACTCCAATTCCAGAGTTACTCAGCATGCTTCAGTGGAAAAAGCATTGTCAATGGAGTCAGAATATCAGGGTTCAAATCCTAACTCTGATACTTCCTAACCTTGGATAAGACACTGAATCTCCCTGGGCTACAGTTTCCTAATCTATGAAATAAAGTCACTGAATTAGAAGGCTTTTGAGGGATGTTCCATCTGTAAATCTATGATCCCATGAACTGCTTCTGCCATTACTATTAGACAGATATGTCCTTTAGCAGTTCACTTTTCTTATGTTATGTCAATACAAAGTGTAGTACATTCAACTTCCCAGTAGATTTAATTTAATCTAGTCATAGGGAAGAAAATAAAAATCATAAATTTATAGTTGGAAAAGATCTTAGGGGTCATATGGTTCAACTCCTTCATTTTGCAGATGAAGAAACTGAGGCACAGAGATGTTAAACAACTTGCTCAGAGTTATTTGAGGTGGAGTTTGAACTCAGAACTTCCTGACTCCATGTCTGCTGCCCTAATCACTACTTATCATGCTACTTATCCATTACAGATTTGGAAAGCAAAATCAAAATGCCTGTTCTACCCAATCCAGTCAAAATTTAATGTTGACCAATGCCTTTTGAGACCCAGCTGGCTTTTTTTTTTTCACAATCAGGAAAACCAACCCACATAGCATTTAGATTTGTACCAAGTACCTGGGCTAGTTGCTGGGTATACAGAGGCAAAAATGAAATAGTCCCTCCCCTCAAGGAGCTCACATTTTTAAAAAGGAAAAAACAAGTATATATACATATACAAGTATACTTTGTATACATGCATACAAAGTAAAAGCAAGACAATTTAAGGAGGGGGAGCACTAGCATCTATAAGGCATCAGAAAAATCCCCTTGAAAGAGGTGATATTCAGGTATAGAGACTTCCAGGAGCCAAGATGGCAGAGTAAGCAGGAAATTGCCCAAACTATCCCATATTCACCTCCAACATCTGTAAAATAGAGCCTTAAAATGAATTCTGGATCAGTAGAACCAACAAAAAGACTGAGTGAAACAATCTTTCCCAAGACAATTTGGAAGGTTGGCAATAAAGATCTATCTCACTTGGGTAAAAGGGGAAGACAGTCCAGGGCAGGCAGAATTCTAGCAAGCCAGTATCAGGCCCTGCCTTAGCAAGCCAGTGGGAGGCCCTGAGGCTCCATGCAGGTCAATGACTGAGGTCCCACTGCCATTGCAGTAGAGTGGCTAGACCCCCACAAGGCCCTCCAGCATAGCACCAATCCCCCTCCACCTTCAGCTTAACTCAAGGTGAGCCACCGGACCTCTGTGGCACTGCGCAACACTGGTCACCTTCACCTCAATTCCAGCCTCAGCACACCACCACTACCACACGCCCGCCCCATGCAGCCCCAGCTCAGCACAAGGGTCCTCCACTTGCCTCAATACAGCACCAGGTGAACAGGTAGATGCCAATACCAGGTCCCCTCACACGGCTCAGCGACCAGACACCCATTGCACCACACAGCACCAGCCACCCTCCAGTTACATCCCATTCCCACCTCAGCACAGCACTGAGTGAGCTGCCAGACACCCACAACCCCAACACAGCATGATCTCCCACAGGTTTCAGGGCAGCACCAGTGCAGTACCAGGTAAACAGTCAGGGCCTGCAACCTCTGGCACAAGAAACTTGGGACAGTGCCCCTTACACCCCAAGAACAGAGCTCAACTTCAAAAGTAATGAAATAGGCTGGAAAAGATTAGCAAAAAAAAAGAAAAAAGAAAAGAAAAAAGGCTTGATCATAGAACTTTACTATGGTCTCAGGGAAGGTCAAGAGACAAACTCAGAAGATGACTATGTCAAGACGTCTACATGCAAAGAATCAAAGAAAAATGTGAATTTGTCTCAAGCCCCCCCCCCCAAAAAAACCTCCTAGGAAAGCTCAAAAATGAATTTAAAAATCAAATAAGAGAGGTAGGAGAAAAACTGGGAAAAGAAATGGGAGCAATACAAGAGAATCATGGTGGGGATGGGAAAGGGAGTCAATAGTTTGATAAAGGAAGCATTAAAAATGGAAAAAATGGAAAAAATTTACTGAAGAAAATAACTCCCTAGAAAGTAGAATTGGTCAAATGGAAAAAGGCTAACTGAAGAAAATAACTTCTTAAAAATTAGAATTGCACAAATGGAAGCTAATGACTCCATGATACATCAAGAATCAATGAAACAATGGCTGAACAAGTTGTGGTATATGAATGTAATGAAATACTATTGTGCTATAAGAAATGATGAGCAGGAAGACTTCAGAAAAACCCAGAAACATGTATATGAACTGATGCTGAGTGAAGTGAGCAGAACCAGGAGAACATTGTACACAGTAACAGCCACATTGTATGATAACTAACTTTGATAGATTTAGCTCTTCTCAGCAATGCAAAGATATAAGACAATTCCAAAAGATTTATGATGGAAAATGGTATCCACATTCAGAGAAAGAACTCTGGAGTCTGAACGCAGATGGAAGCATACTATTTGCTCTCTTTTTTGTTGTTTTGTTTTATTTATTCTTTCTCTTGGTTCATCCCATTGGTTCCAATTCTTCTTTACAATATGACTAATGTGAAAATATGTTTAGCATGAATATATATGTAGAACCAATATCAAATTGCACATTGTCTTGAGAAGGGAGGAGGAGAGGGAGGAGGAGAAAATTTAAAACTCAAAATCTTATGGAAGTGAATGTTGAAAAATAAATTAATGAATTTTTAAAAAAAAAGAATAAATTTTGAAACATCAAAAAAATCAAACAAAATCAAAAGAATGAAAAATAGAAGAAAATGTGAAATAACTCATTGGAAAAACAATTGAACTGAAAAATAGGTTGAGGAGAAATAATTTAAGAAATATTGGACTACCTGAAAACCATGATCCAAAAATAGACATCATACTTCAAGAAATTATCAAAAAAAAATTCCCTGAAATCTTAGACTTGAAAGAATTGACCAATCACCTCCTGAAATAGATCTCAAAATGAAAGCTCCCAGGAACATTATAGCCAAATTCCAAAAGCAGCCAGAAGGAAACATTTCACAGTCAGGATTACACAGGATTTAGCAACTTCAACATTAAAGGATCAGAGGGCATGGAATATCATATTCCAGAAGGCAAAGGAGCTAAGACTACAACCAAGAATCAGCAACCTGGCAAAATTAAGCAAAATCCTTCAGGGGAAAACATGGTCATTCAATGAAATAGAAGGCTTTCAAGTCTTCCTGATGAAAAGAGCAAAGCTGAACAAAAAAATTGATTTTCAATTTCAAAACTCAAGAGAAGCATAAAAAGGTTAAAAGGAAAGAAAAAAACATAAGGGATTCAATAAGACTAGACTGTTTAAATGACTACACAGGAAGATGATCCTTGTAATTCTTAAAAACTACATCAATATTAGTGCGGTTAGGAGTATACATAGAAGGTACAGGCATAAGGTGACTTTGAGGGGATGATATAAAAAAATTAAGGATGAGGAAGAGAATTACACTGTGAGCAGAAGGAAGGGAGAGATAGAATGGGGTAAAGTATCACACATGAAGAGGCACAAAAGACCTATCACAATGGAGAGAAAGATGAGAGGGTGGTTGCTTGAACCTTACTATCATCAAAATTAGTTCAAAGAGGGAATAACATACACAATAACTTGGGTAAAGAATTCTATCTTATCATACAAGAAATCAGGAGGGGAGGAAGCTAAATAAAGGAGGAGGGGGAACTGAGAGAAGGGAGGGCAGATTTGGGGAAGCAGTGGTCAGAAGCAAAACACTGGTGGAGAGGGAAAAGATGAAAGGAGAAAAAGAAGGATAAACAGGAGGAAAAATAGGAAGAAGGGAAATACACAGTTAGCAATCATAACTGTAAATGAAAAATAGGAAGGAGGGAAATACATAGTTAGCAATCATAACTGTGAATGTCAATGGGATAGACTCTCCCATAAATGGAAGCGGATCAGAGTGGATTAAAAAACATTGCCCTACTATATGTTGTTTACAAGAAACATACTTTAAGGAAGGAGATACAAACAGAGAAAAAACAAAAGGATGGAGCAGAATATATTATGCTTCAGCTGGAGTAAGAAAAAAAAAAGCAGAGGTACCAATCATGATCTCAGACAAAGTAAAAGCAAAAATAGTTCTAATTAAAAGAGATAAGGAAGGAAACTATATCTATATATAACTATATAGGAACCTTAAACAATAAAGTAATGTCAATACTAAATATATATGCACCAAGTGGTATAGCACCCAAATTCTTAAAGGAGAAGTTAAGCTAGTTACAGGTGGAAATAGCTAGCAAAACTATACTAGTGGGGGACCTCAACTTTCCCCTCTCAGAACTAAATAAATCTAACCACAGAATAAACTAGAAAGAAGTTAAGAAGGTGAATAAAATTTTAGATAATGAAGAAAATTGAATGGGGATAGAAAGGAATATACATTTTTCTTAGCAGTACATAGCACCTACACAAAAATTGACCATGTATTAAAGCATAAAAACCTCACATTCAAATGCAGAAAGGCAGAAATATTAAATATACCCTTTTCAGATCATATTACATTAAAAATTACATGCAATAAAGAACTATGGAAAGACAGATTAAAAATTAATTGGAAACTGAATAATATAATACTAAAGAATGTATGGGTAAAGCTACAGATCATAGAAACAATCAATAATTTCATCAAAGAGAATGACTATAATGAGACAACATACCAAAAATTTATGGAATGTAACCAAAGCAGTACTTAGAGGAAATTCTATGTCTCTAAATGCTTACATGAATAAAATAGAGGGGAAAAAAGCAGATAAATGAATTGGGCGTGCAATTAAAAAAGCTAGAAAAAGAACAAATTAAAATCCCCAATTAAACACCAAATTAGAAATTTTGAAAATCTAAGGACAGATTAATAAAATTGTAATTAAGAAAAGTATCAAACTAATAAGTAAAACTAAGAGCTGGTTTTATTAAAAGAAAACAATAAAACATAAACTTTTGGTTAATTTGATTAAAAAAAAAGAAAGAAGAAAAGCAAATTACCAGTATCAAAAATGAAAACGGTGCATTCACAACCAATGAAGAAGCAATTAAGGCAATAATTAGGAGCCATTTTGACCAAATGTATGCCAATGAATCTGACAATCTAAGTGAAATGGATATTTACAAAAACATAAATTGCCCAGATTATCAGAAGAGAAAATAAAATACTTAAAAAACCCCATTTTAGACAAAGAAAATGAACAAGCCATCAATGAATTCTCTAAGGAAAAATCCCCAGGGCCAGATGGGTTCACAAGTGAATTATACCAAACATTTAAAAAACATTTAATTCTAATACTATTTGGGAAAATAGGTGAAAAAGGAGTCCTCCCAAATTCCTTTTATGACACAAATAGGGTGATAAGTAGTATCTATCAAAAACCATCAGGAAGCATTATCTGTAATGGAAATAAGCAAGAAGCCCTCCCAATAAGATCAGGAATGAAACAAGGATGCCCATTATCACCACTAATATTGTACTAGAAATGTTAGCTTTAGCAATAAGAGAAGAAAAAGAAACTGAAGAAATTAGAATAGGCAATGAGGAAACAAAACTATCACTTTTTTTCTTAAAGACAACCAATTGTATTAAATTCAGTTATCAATTTTTTTTAAAGCTCATGGGCCCCAGGTAAAGAACCCCTGGTCTAAAGCCTATGATATCATTGGTTGATTGTTTGAACATCTTCTCACCTTCTTTTTTTAATTAATTAATTTATTTATTTTTAGCTTTCAACATTCACTTCCACAAGATTTTGAGTTCCAAATTTTCTCCCCATTTCTCCCCTACCCCACCCTAAGACAATGTGCATTCTGAATACTCCTCCCAATCTGCCCTCCCTTCTCTTACCCCTTCCCCTTATATTTTCCTGTAGGGCAAGATAGATTTCTATGCCCCTTTGCTTGTATGTCTTATTTCCCAGTTGCATATAAAAATAATTTTTAACATTTGTTTTTTAAAACTTTGAGTTCCAAATTCTCTCCTTTCCTCTCTCTACACCCACCCTCATTGAGAAGACAAACAATTTGATATAGGTTATACATGTGTAGACATGCAAAACACTTCCATGATAGTCATGTTGTGAAAGACTAACTGTATTTCCCTTCAACTTACCCTGCTCCCATTTTTCTATTCTCTCCTTTGGCCCTGTCCCTCCTCAAAAGTGTTTGCTTCTGATTACCCTTTCCTCCAATCTGCCCTCCCTTCTATCATTCCCCTTTTCTTATCCCCTTCCCCCCTATTTTCCTGTAGAGTAAGATAGATTTCCATACCTAATTGAATGTGTATGTTATTCCCTCCTTAAGCCAAATTCAATGAGATGAAGAGTCATTCATTCCCTCTCACCTCCACACTTTTTCCCTCCACTGTAAAAGCTTTTTCTTGACACTTTTATGTGAGATAATTTAGCTCATTCTGCCTCTCCCTTTCTCCTTCTCCAAGCTTGAAAGATGATGTCTAGGCTCTTTTTTTTTATCATGGTTTTCAGGTAGTCCAATAATTTTTAAATTGTCTCTCCTGGATCTATTTTCCATGTCAGTTGTTTTTCCAATGAGATATTTTA